CCGGATATAACCGGCGCTAGTAGCCAAAGGGTTAAGTGACTTCCAATTATTTTTTTTCAATTAAAAAAAAATAATACAGCAAACCCTAATACTGTGCAGAGCTGGAAGGAAGTCCAGTGACGGCAGATGGGCAAGATGATGGGTACTTTTCACTCGCGTTGCCTAAATCTCACGTCGCGCAATTTTAACCCATTTGCACACGACGATCGCATAGAAGGATTTCGAAGCTTAAAAATTTCAATTATTGCACGTAATTTCCGAGTACAATCAGTAATAAAGAAAAACACGAGAACTATCCGACTGCCAATTGAACGTCTCAAATGGATAACGCTATTCAGAGCTGCGATGCAAATGGGTTAACGTATTGCTGACGATATACTATGAAATGGAACGAAACTGAACATCTTTAGTTTTTAAGAAATAATTTTTAACACTTCATTCAATAACAGAGGTGTAGACGATGCGAATTAGCATGTCTCGTCACCAGCAGTTGAAAAACGAACGATGAAAATTCGCGTCTCCCGTCGATAACAGTTGAGAAACAAAGGACGCGAATTTGCAACGAAATCTGAACAATAATGACAACAGATGTACCCTATCTCTATGATCGCGTCAGAGAAGGTGGGCTTATGAGGATACGACAAGACTTCTTTCCAGCTCTGCAAAACGAACGATGAAAATTCGCGTCTCCCGTCGATAACAGTTGAGAAACAAAGGACGCGAATTTCCAACGAAATCTGAACAATAATGACAACAGATGTACCCTATCTCTATGATCGCGTCAGAGAAGGTGGGCTTATGGGACTTCTCTCCATCCCTCCATTCACGCGGTCAGATAGGTTCAGTTTTCTATAAACTTTCATTGAATTTATTACATATCAGAGAGGCGTAAATCCTTACTTGAACGTACTAATATTGATCCAAACCTTCGACGAGCCTTAAAATTTCAAGAAGATTTGAAAAAATATTGCAGCGAATATCAGGCAATTTACGATAACCTCGCAAAAGATAAGTTATTGACAAATTCGTCTAAAAATAAGCAATAATAATGCAAATGAAGTAAGACTTGAGAACATTTTAAGCGATAAAGATAGTGACTTTGAGCCAATGAGGAAGAGAAGGTCGATTGCTTTGAATTACAGTACGGATTCTAACACCGAATAAAACTTTGCCTTTCCGAAATGTCATAATTTTCTTTATTATATTTTTATAACTTATACCTATTTTTTTTTTTCATACGCGAAAAAAAAAAATCAACGATCAATCCGCGTGAATGAAGGGATCGGTGTACTTGCACAGAGTGCCCAGAGGTTTTGTCACGTTTACAACTGGGACGCAACGAAAGTAATCGAATGTTTCGAGACGTTTTGCCCGATCGAAACCGTAATTCTCCCATATACGGCAGTTCTGCACCTTACCTTGTTATTCATGATGGCGCGCATGCACAGTATGCAAACATGAATGTCATCTTTCGCTTCGCCCATATTCAGACGCGCCACGTGCCGTGATCGCCGTTTAACGCCAGGACTATCCTTGAGTTCGTGAAGTGGTGGCCTCAGGCAGCCGTTATTTAAGGGCGACGTGTCCCCAGAACCAGCTGGAAAATAATTACGCTGTACCACGCCGCCGCCGCCGCTTCGCCGTTCACTGATTCAATCTTTTTCTCCGTTGCTCTATTTCCGGTTCTAACAAAGATGAACGTTGACACGTACCCGGCACGTATATACCGGGGCCCAGAGATTCTTACCGGTTTGTAATTTCTCCTCGGAACTCGCGTGGGATTCCAGGAGACGCTGTTCGTGCCTCATCATGAGTAACCTGAAGCTGAGGTAGTCTATAAGGGCGTCCAAGCCTTGGTTCTCCTCGTCTAGGAATTCCCTCACCCATCTAGAGCGATCGAATGGTGTTAGAGCACGGTGTACCGAGAAACAGCGATGGGAATATTTTTACGACCGACGTTTTGACCGCCATATGTGGGGTGTACGGTAGAATTCCGATAATTCCGGCACGCTTGGGACTTGGGCGATGCAGGATTAGCAAATATTGCGGATCATTGGGCTACATTTGTGTAGTGCGGCGAAAATAATTTAAAAAACCGACCGTTGTTACGGAAATCGGGCGAATTTGATCCAAAATGAAATCGCCAATTGTTATTTCTCGAAAATTTTTCATACCTCTGACACTTTGACTGCTACCGGCGCCTATAGACGCTCGGTGATAATCGAACGCTGGATAGTATCAGCGCTTTTCGTATTCTACGTTTTACCATTCGTAGATTATTTATTTTACGAATATAAAATACCAAGTATCTAACAAGAATGTGGTTTGGCTAACGAAATATGTGGTATGACTATTAATTCTATGACACTGTACTTTATTTTCGAGTTACCAGCAGTCAAAGGGTTAAATATCTAACAAACGTTGATAATCTGTACATCTGTGTAATTCAGTAAAAAATGAGGAAAGTAATTTAAAAGACTGTCATAGTTAGTACAGTAAGGTTCTCCTGATGAAAGTGACTCCAAACACGGCGTAATAGTAATCAATTTTAACCCTTTGCGATCGGCACATTTCTCTGGTTGGACTATCAGCTAGTCGAAGCAAATTTAAATTTTCAAAGTTATTTTTGCATAGTTTATTTATTATATATATAAGGATATTAAACTGATACATTTTGTTTAATACATACTAGTTATAGTGCATAAAAATAAAACGTTTTAATTTTTGTAATTTTCCAAAGTATGATACTTGACAATACAAAGATCATGCCGCCATAGCGGCGACACCGATTTCTAGAACAAAATTGAAATGCCGCCACTATGGCGGCACCGATCGCAAAGGGTTAACCCTTTCGCTGTTTAGTCCGTACGTCGTACGGGCAGAGCGGGATCTTATCGCTTAATTCCTTTCGTTGGAAAAGAAATCCAAAAACAAAAAGAAAAAAATATGAAAACGAATAAGGAAAGATTATTGTGAAGAATGCAACGTTCGACTATGCATACCGTGCTTCAAAATTTACCACGCTCGGACTAATTATTAGAATATCTTTAGGAATAGCAGTGGAACACAGGTGAAATGTGTTTTTTCTCGTATTTTTATCATAAATAGAAGCAATACTGATTATAAAGAAAGTCGAACATTTTTTGACCGCTTTTTGTTATTTCAGTGAACACAGCGAAAGGGTTAAGAGCACCCTTGAGCCTTTCGTGAACCAGTAGCATATATCCCACTCGAGTACGCGAACAAAAATTGATCTGAATTTGGTATCCATTACAGATTGGTGGATAAATAAAAAATTCTTTGTGTCGAACTATTGGATGTCGGATTGTCGGAATTCTACTGTATTCGGACGATGCACGAATTTTCGTCAGCGAGTCAAATACGTGAGGGTTTTCACGTGGATAAATAAAAAATTCTTAAAAAAAAAAAATTCTTTGTGTCGAACTATTGGATGTCGGATTGTCGGAATTCTACTGTATTTGGACGATGCACGAATTTTCGTCATCGAGTCAAATACGTGAGGGTTTTCATTTTTTTAATTCAATGTAATACAGCAGAATTGGTTGTAATCATTTCTTCGCCGATATGGTTTACACTTTTTAGGTCCGGCAAAAAGATCTGACGGTGTTTTCACGTGGTTGCAGCTCGTTTGCCGCGTTTTCATGCCATGCGTGGTCCCGTTATCAGTTTACGTTGCAAGTTCTTTCAAATAAGAATTCCGGATTAATCTAGATACACGTGCTTCACTTGGGTATTATTGGTATATTTGGAGAGCAAATCAGATCTTTCTACAGGACCCTGTATTACTGTGTATTTACCGTTGGTTTGCAACCTTACGTCCCCGCGGGATTCACGCGCGAAATTGGTTGAGCAATCATAGCGCTGGTCCAATCAATATTAATCGACCACTATTTAAGCAGCTGTTATTGTACTACAATATTAACGGTTTTCAAAATATCACGTGGTAAATATTGGTGTATTATATCGAGATATTTAAATGGTTTAAATTCTTCTGCACTTTTAATTTATTTTTGTGTGAGGAAATGTATCACCATTTCGGCCACAGCTTGTATGATACGCGTGTAATTCTTCAAGTAATATTATAAAGTACTTATAAGCATATTTGGTTTGTAATAAGTGACTGTTTAACCTGTCCACTGAGCGTTACTAGCTTCGAAAATGTTGCAACGTGACCATCAACGGGTCTTTCGCTTAAAGAGTGATGAATTTTTTGCCATTTTTGAATCTCTGAAAATATATCCCTGGAAGGACTGTTTGAAATTCGAGAAATTGACGTCGCTTTGAGCGACGGGAATTTGACTAGCATTCTAGAAAGATTTCAATAACTACAGGTATTAAGAATAGTTTTCATATTAACTTTAAACGCGTTTTTGTCGAGACTACTTTTTCAAACCGCGTGTACCAGAGATTTCTCGGAAACTATCCAACGAATTTTTCTGAAATTATGCACAAATCTTCAGTACACGTGTAGGCAAGGCATCATCTTCTATAATCTCAAAATTCCAAGAAATACTATTTTTTAAGGACTCGAGAAACAACGATTTTTGGGCAATGTCGAAGCGCGACTTTGACGCGTCGCCATTTTGTTATTCTGTGGTATTTTTCAACCATAGTGGAAGATACCTGACCTCAACTATTGCATTATCGGCCCCTCGTAGAATTTTTGTTTCAAATATACAAAATCCGAAAATCCTTGTTTCCGTGCAAGAGTTACTTCCGGTACACGTTACACAAAAGGTATACTGTATTTAACCACGAAAAAAAAATTAAGCACAGTGCAAGGTACGAATAACAATCGTTCCAAGTTTCGTTTCAATAGCTCTGATAGTTTTCTTGCAAAAATTTCCCAAAAAATATTTCTGCCGTTTAAGAGCGACAAGCCTGTTAATTTTAAAATTTAACCCTTTGTAACTCCAAGGTTTTCTTGCTATAGGAAAGTAGCAAATGGCAAATGAAATTTTTTTATAACAACAGAAATTTCGAACTATTTCACTGCTTAGATCTACAAACAAATGGTGAACAATTTATAGAGACCCACACATTTGCTGCTGCTCTGGGAAATCTCAGCTCTAACAGGGCCTTAATTGTAAACAATAATGTCGCCTCTCAGTCGTCACTCTAGTGAAAAGGGTTAACGTGTATTTGTAAAGAAAATTCGAACAGCTTACTCTATGTGATTTGTGCGTAAAGAGATCTCCAAATCCCGTAACACTTGAGTAGATGTTGATTCCCCAACCATTTTCCTTTTCTGAAAGAAAGTGAGAAAACGATACGACTGTATAATCATTAGTATCCGTTGTTCAAGCTTGTCCACACGCGGAAAACGAACACAAAACAAACGGATCTTTTGTAGTACAAGAACGCAAAACATTTTTCGAGAATCGCTTACTCAAACGATAATCACGCTGCAAGTTCAACAATTTAACAATCTTATTAACAAAATTCGCAATTTGATAACGTAATCGACGCAATGTGGTACATAGCAAAGCTATACTCTGTTCAAAATGAGAGTAACCTCGCTTCGCGCATGGGACGTGCCTAAGGCAGGGCTAGAACGTCCAAACCCCCACTTAACCGCCCACGTTTTTCTCCGTCTTACCCTCTGCTGCGCCCTCTGTCCATGCGCAGAACGGACGAGAATCGGTCCGAGAGCGAGGTTATTCTTAAACTGAACGACGTATAGGAGCACCGACTGGGTCCAAAATGACCCATTAGCAACTTTCTAAAAAAAAGTGAATGTTCGATAATAGTATGTATTATCGTTTGTAACCCTTGTTCTGCGTGTATACTTTTATTTGCACCGATATGAATCTTATTTTTCAATCACGTTTCAGTTAAAGAAAAATTCACTTTCGGAAAGTCGCTGATGGGTCATTTTTGACCCGGCGGCCGGTCGTTCTAGTGTTAAGGTCGAGTCCGTTTTTCTGAATCGTTTAGAAACATGATTCACCGATCGTTTTGAACAATTAGCATATCTCGAAATGCTATTTCATTCGAATTCGCGTTGCAACATAAAGGAGACGAAAAAGCGAGTACAAAACAGGGTTTATAAAAGCATGCAAATATTAAATATAATGCTACATACTCGATGGCTTCGCGAAGCTTTCGGATCCAGGTAGGTACGTAATTTTGCTAAATAATGCGACGGCGGATCTTTTGCTTGTACTCGTTCCTGAAAATATCGAAACATCGAATGTATTATTTAAACATTAATAACGTTTACTTAAAACGCTTATATACTAATAAATATGTATCTTTCAATCAACCATATCATTCTTTCCCGTCTAATTTCAACTTTTATCCGGCCAAAGCGATTCCAATAGACAAACGTCAAGTTTTTCTTAAATACTTCGAACAATACTTGAGAAATTCAAAATGCCTTCTACGAGTTCTTCTATTGTATCAATTGAACTATAGTCCTCTATTGTAAAAAGTGTTTTTTCGAAAGCAAAAGAAAATGTATTTAAATAATTTTGTTACATAAGCAATCAGTAGGAGTTCACCAAACTCCAAGAGTTATTTTTCCCTATTTTTTTAAATGCGATGCTGTATTTTTTTATCGCTGTGTGTTAGCTGCTGTTGCGATGATTTCAGCATGCTTTTACGATCATCAGTGACCTTGAATGACCTTAATGATAGCATTCTGAAATCATCACAACAGCGGTTATTGCACAGTGATAAAGAAAAAATGTATAGTATCCTATTAAAAAAAAAAAAAAACTAGAGATGACCTTGAAATCTCATCTACGTCTCCACCCACGTAAAAACTACATCACATTATGCCCCCCTCCATATCATGCAAGCTCTGTACAACAACACTTTTCCATATTATAATAAATAACGGAAATATTCCAAATGGACAAAGTTTTGTCCCATCCTGTATATTCCACGACTCTCGTACGCACGCAAATAACACGGGTCACAGATGACCCAGCCTCGGTTAAGGTCGACGAAGCTGGGATAAAATAAAAATATCGCCAGACAGGTTCGTGAAAAGTTAATTAACCCTTTACGATCGGTGTGCTCACCGATGAATTAACTTAATCAAATTTAATTACGCGTAATAAATGAATTCCATGGAAGTAAAAAAAGTTGCGGCAAAAATCAAGTCGGTTGAACGGGAAGAACTTCACAAAAGGGACACGTTACAAAAGGTTCAATCCTTTGAAGCGACGTGTATCCGAGCTTCAGCGGAGTTTAGCGAATGCCTCGGTAATCAGCGTGTGTGCAACGGCGGCACACTCACTCGCGTCGGCTGTAATGGGCGAGGCTCCTCTAACGTGTTGAACAATATCCCACGGTTTCCTAAATGCGTACGTGCGTGCGTGCGTGAATGCGTGCCTGTGGCACTAATTTGGCTAATTCCACACATGTGGGCTCGGTTCTTCGGATACACTTTTATCTGACGTTTACACCACCATGTTGCCTTTCAAAGGATCTTCATTACTTGTTTGTAACTCGCCTACAGAACTCGAAACAGTGGCTCCTTTCAAAGGCCGGGTTCTTTTTTTTTTTTTTGTAATTATTGGAAGTATCAAAAATAGCTTACGGAGAAAAGAAGGAAATTTTATTTGATGTTCGTTTGAGTAACTTCTGGAAGAATTTTGTTACGCCATTTTGAAATACCTTTTTCGTGAAGTTTATACGAAAAAGAAGTTTCTTGTAACTTTGCACAGTTAATCTATTTAACAACGGAAAATATCGAGATTGCACGAAAAATAAATAAGATAGCATTAGATATAAACGTCAATGTGATTTCCTTCTTTTAATACTTTTCTTACTCAAACAGATTCTCTTTGTTATACAGGGTGGTCCACCTAGCGTGACCATCTCAATTATTTTCGTTAATAGTGGACCAATCAAAAATTTCGTTTTTCGTAGAGGATGCAATTTCAGAGGATTATCGAGATAACCTTAAATTTTTCCTTTTTTGAATAAGTTTTCAAGGTCGTACTAAATATTTTGTAAAAAAACGTGTATTATACTGAGGTCATAATACTCATGATCATTGCTCTGACAGACTGAACAATATTTAAGTACTTTTAATTATACAAATAATTCAAGCGTTGCATTTAAAAAATGGTAAAGTAGAAATTTTCAGTATCCTAACCTATAATATTAACTGAATTCACCTTTCAAACAAAAATCGAATTACTCCTGATTATAATTAAAGATGAGTAAAAATTACGACCAATTACTTCAGTTTGGTTCTTTCAAATGTGAATACGATGTATTTTATTATATATTATAAAATGAATAATCCCTCGAAAAATAAAGTACCGTGTTCCAAATACTGGTAAACCAATGACGAGTTAACACGTCTTCCCCAGTTAATAGGTTAAGAAGCTAGAAATTGATTTTTCAACGTCCTAACGGGAGAGAAGTTTAGAAGCTGTGCCAAGTGTGTTGTATCGAGGCAACCACGCGCACGTGTGTACATCTACGCCGATGAGTGAGGGATGCTGTACACTTTTTTGCAGCCACTTTCTTGTATCGTATAATAGCACGGCTTGCATTACATCCGTGTCGTGTTACCCATATGCCCTACAGGTCCGTTCAAAAATCGAGACGACCATCGATGACCCCAAACAGGCAACCCTGTCGCCTCAAGAATATCCTATTTCACAACGAGATTCTGTGCAACTACATCCCAGCCACCTTATGACATCGGACTGACGCGTCTACAGTGGCTGATTTACTCGACTAATTCGCTAGTGTCTCTCTTTCATACGTATAAACAACCTGTTGCTAATACCGAATTAGAAGATAGTATGTATCTTGTTTAACCTGTTAACTGGGTTCACTTCTCAGACAGAAATTGAATCTGTTTAGTTTGTAACTGAAAATGAGTAAACTTTATTTTTATTAATAACTGGATTCATATAATTGATTCAAAGCCAAAGCAAAAGTTTATCAACAATAATAGAAATTGTATGGATGATTGATCTGTTTTCATTCTTTTTAAATGAAATTTTGATTATACCCAAAAGTCGGGAAGAATTTATTTCTACACCTAATAAATGTGAATATAATGTCTTTTACGTTTAATGCAGACATAGGAGTACAGTTGAAAATAAACAATCCCTGGATAAATAAATTATTGAATTCTAAGTGCTGATGAACCAATAACGAGTTAACTCGTCTTTTCCAGTTAACAGGTTAATTATTGTGTGACACTAGAACTAGCCAAGCAATCCAGACGACTGATATAAAATCTATTATAAAAGTTA